AACGTAAGTAACGTTAAGTAAGTAAGTAAGTAAGTAATAAGTAAGTAAGTAAGTAAGTAGTAAGTAGTAAGAGAGAGAGAGAGAGAGAGAGGNAGAGAGAGAGAGAGAGAGTCTAGTGCTATCACTTCTAAAATGACAAACCTGACATCTTGGGTTCCATTCCAATTAGTTCCCAAGTTAACATTTTAAGAAAACAAGAAAAAATGATGAGCCTTTCTGGTTCTGGTTTTTTTTATTTTATTTTATTTTCTGTTGAGCTATTATTGTATAGTTTACGAAAGGGTTTCAGAATGCAGTATATGATTTGTGTCTTGGTGTGTTGCTGTGACTTTGTGAAATGCCAAGCTTTTCAGGTTCTGATTTGTTGGTGAACTATTGTATTCCTTGGGAAGGGATTCTAAATTACAGTATGGGTATTTTGCCTTAGTTTGTTTTGGCTCAGCATTTACTGGTGCCCAAACCAGATCAGCATATCATGCAAAATGCTTGCGTTGTTTATTTGAGGGGTCGAGCTTTTCTCTTATTGTATGGCACAATGATGCGGTGGTGCTTTTGGGAACTGAAATGTTGCGGTATTCAATTGTAACCCGTTGCAAAGAGAACCCATGCCTTTTGATTCATGTGCTAAGGGTGCATAGTTCATACAAGGAGCTCAACGTGCTTTAACATCATTGCTGTCGTCGAATGACTACAAGGGCTGGTTGTGATGCGCCGTTGCTCCATTCAAAGTCTGTCAAATATGAATTGGACGGTTGGTTAATGTCACGGGAAATTAATGTCTGCATCTTGTGTACCAAGTATAACCCCACCCAAAAAAAGAATGGAAAAAGGAAAAAAAACTTTAGTTTTAGTCAGTGTTTTAAAACCCAACAGTTCTTGATTTCAATGGGGAACCGGTCGGGACCAAATTGGTTCTGGGATGGCATGGCTCGTGCCCTTGTTCTCCCTTAATACTACATTTTTTATACTTATTTTTTTGAGTGGATCTAATGTTTTCGTAGGTCCCTTTAAATTCCCGTCGCATAAATCCTTATTCTAGTTTTTATTCTATTTTATTGATTTTTAATATTTTTTGGATCACTGGTTCAGATTGTTCACTAATCCAGTGATTCAACACAGATTTGTGGGTGGGTGAACAATCCTTGCCACAGGGTCGGGTTTTGAAACATCAGTTCCAATGGTTGGGCTTTTTCCACATCACTGAGGTAATTAAGATGTTATATGTTCTCAACTTTGTTACTGTCCCGGGAGAACGGTTTTGAACATCTGACGGGATTAACAAATGCATTGTATAAGAGGCAACACACCTTTTTATTTTAGGGCAAATTTCGTATAGACCTTTAATTTTTCATGTTATTTTATGTAGATTCTCTTTCTATTTTAACCGTACCCCTTCATCTCTTATTTTCCTCTTTTATTGACTTTTTGACAATAAAAATTAGCCCAACAAATCTTTTGATACTATTTTAATTCAAAAACTTTTTTAATGAGTGGAAATAGAAAAAGATGGTTAAAAAGTTTTTGGGTTGAAATGATTTAAAAAGATTTGTTGAAGTTAATTTTTATAGTTAAAAGTTAATAAAAGAGGAAGATAAGAAATGCGGGGGTAAGGTGAAATTTTTAAAGGGTTTTTTATGCTTCTTGAAAGAAAAACGGAAGGAGGGTCTATCATGAAATCATATGAGGAATTAGAAGTCTATATGAAATTTTTCTTTTATTTTAATAGCACATATATTATGCTCTCTCGAGAGTAAAGTTTATTTTTATTTCCTCAACCTTGGGAGGATATTTTCAAAAATTCAGGAAATTAGATGATTATTCTAAAAAAAACAAAAAAAAAAGAGAAAATTCAAGCTTTCTAGCTGGAACATAACGGTCTACAAATTGAATGGTTTCTATTCAATCTCAAGAAATTATTTCTTTTCAAGCTTATAAAAGTTACAATTAGGTAAGTTTTTTTATTAAGATTAATCTATGGGTCGAGGATATTACATCCTTTTGGGACCTAGAATTAATTCTAGGTGGGATTTTGCCCGAGGGAGTAAACGTGAGAGTAGAATATCTTTTGCCTTACATCGAAAGCATAAAAATACAAAAGGTAGTATTAGAAATATTAAAATTTTTTAAACACGGTAGTACTGCATCAACCATGCCTAGACCTAACCAGTACTTCTATTTGACACAGCTATAACACATCAACCTTACATCAGCTATAACACAGCTTTTACTTCTATTTGACAAACATAGAGCCAATATCTTCTAACCAGTACCTAGACCTAAAAACTTGCAGAATCGACCATCTCATAACAGTGGAGAGGGAGAGAGAGAGATCAGTTGTTAGGCAGATTGGGAAAAGGAACGAAGGTGAAAGAAGTGGCAGCTAATTTGATGACTGTTCCTAGAAGCCGTTCAAGCCTTCCAACAAAGGTGAGAGGCGATTGCAAGATGCCTTGTAATTGAGGGGTGGTTTTGCATGTGGTGGTGAGAGGCGTTTGAACGACGACCGAGCAATCGCTGAGGAGGGAAGAGAGGAGCATATGGAGGGGGTTCACCAGGAACTGGAACGCGCCCGTCGAGTCTGTGTTCACTGTTGATATGTTGTTGCCATTGCACACCAGCTGCACTGGGGCATCTGCATGCATATGAAAGAAAAATTGTTAAGATTTTGGAGAGCGAGTCTACCTACTAACGCAATAGTGTTATTTTTCTAATTTGTTTTTGGCCACCAACTAATGTGAGGATTACTCGTACTAAAATAGCTCCCTCTATCTCTCGTGCCATATTTATGGGCAGAAATAAAACTCTTGACATCATGTTGTGGTTCCACCATCTTGATCACTTAAATCGAGGTCCCATTCTCTCTCTCTCTCACTCACGGTCACACACAATTGGACTTACTAGGAATCACTGGTGTGGCTGAGCCAAGGATACCAATATTGCCATTAGAGGTGCAAAAGATGGTCCCTGTGATTTGAGTGAGTCCTAGGAGTGAACCCAGACCAAGCTGCGCATGTGTGGTGGGCGCCGGCATCAACACAAGAGCAAGAACAACAAAGAGAAGGGATTTGAACGCCATGGATGATAGTTTGGTTTTCTTTCTTCTTTTTGTCTCAAGAAATGGAAGTTGATGGAGTTTAGCGTTGGAGGGATGCCAATTTATAGAAGGATCTCGCATGTGGCATGATCCTCTTCAACATGTGTGGTCCTAGACAATACCTTATTACACATGAAACCAGTAAGCCTTGTTGTAAAATGGTCCATGGGGGCAACCACCATTTTTGTGAGCTTAGCATGCATCTCTCTCCTTCTCTTTTAAAAATTAGGCATCTCCAATGATTTCCAATAATTGATGCTGAAATTGGGGGAGAAATCTTCCCATTTATCTCTATTTTTAAGTCATTTTTTGAAAAAGAGATATTCCAATAAATCATTAGCGTCATCTGAGTCTTATCACAACTATTTGGAGTTGGCTAAACGAATCATGTTTTGCCATTTCGCTCTATTAAGGGTCATAGCCTCAATCTGATCACTCACCATATCTCTTATCACTACTGTCATCCATGCCTTTTTGGGCATTCCTCTTGTCTTTTTAGAGCATTCTAATTGAACCAAATTATCCCTCCTAACTGGTGATGTTCTAGGTTGACGCTACACATTGCTAGACCACCTAAATTTACTTTCCTCGTCTTATTGCCTAGCTATTCTTAAGTTCTCTAGAATGTATTTATTTCAAATTCTATCATTTCTTGTCATGGCAATCACCTATCTCAATATCATCACTTCGGCTACACTCATACTATGGATGTGTTGTTTCTTGATTGTCCAACATTCTATCCCATAAAGTATTGCTAGTCTTAAAGTCGTAATATAGAACTTTCCATTTAGTTTCATTGGTATGCAGCAATCACATAAGATTCAAGAAGCATATCTCCACTTCATCCATCCAACTCTAGTTCTATACTCAAAATTTTCCTCAATCTCTCTACTCTTATATTCCTATAGAATAGTTAGAGAATTTATTATCTCAAAGTGAATCTTCATTCCTAATCATCTTTCTTTCTTACAAGCCTCATGTTCTCTCTCTCTCTCTCTCTCTCTCTCTCACGAACCCTCATTAAGAATTTTCAAGAAAATTTTCCCTGCCGATCATTTTGAAGAATTTGTAGAGAATTGCTTGCATTATTCGAAGGCAAAATTAAGCAATCGATGTTTATTTTAAAAAATGTAATACATTGTTCTTATCTTGAAGAGAAAATATAAAGAATTGTATACTATGAGACCATTTATCATTGTTACAATGAGGTCACAATTGTTCTTAGCAAATGTCAAATTGGATAGCTTTGGATGTGTCACAAAGTTTAAAAAATTTTATTTTGAATTTTGGGTCTATTCAATGAAACATTCACAACCACCCAATTCCAAATTTGAAATATTAGAGTGATTGTGACTGTGTATTAAAAGTAATTAATCTCTTTCTAATTTTCCAAAATATAATCGGCGAAGTAAAAGCCAAAGAAGATATCACCTTATTTCGCCAAATGAATAACCCTAGATTTGATAGCGTGGGCAAAAATTGAAAAGGACAATGATTCATGAACCCAAAGTCATAAGATAATTGCATTTCGTTAAGTGAAGGACGCGTGTAGGCTTTCCATTAATGGGGGCTCAAAGCCTAAGCTTTCTTTGCCTCTTATCTAAGGCCCAAGCAAACCACACTCTACGATATGTCAAACTCGAAAGGTTACGGAGCCCCATTTATGGGGTTGCCTCAATGGACGGTCCAGATCCTAGTTTGTTTGGATTGACGGTTCAGATTCAAGAAGTTGGAACTTTTTTTATTTTTTTAAACATTAACAAAGGATCACTTTCATTACTCTCAAAAAGAGCACAGGCCCTTAAAGGTCATAATAAGTGTTTCATTATAGTATTTTTATTATACCTCAGATACTTGCACTTACTGAATTTTCAATTGAGCTACCAACAAAAATTTAGTTTAATTTCTCCATAAAATCCGACTTTAGAGATTTTTAGACAATACATTGTGATCTGGTCCATGGTCTCATGGTGCGACATGAGGTTTGTTAAGGTCAAGAGTTTGAACCTAATTCGAAACCAAGCCAATCTCTTGACCTTTCTCACCCAAACCATTATGGTACACCATTAAGTCGAAGCCTAAAAATTTACCCCATATTCTCATTTATTAAACTAACACAAAAGAAACATTTGCTTTTGAAAATCCACAATGTCTTCTTTAAAACTACACCCCTCCTTTTGATCGCTCATAATTTGTTCCTTTGTGCAAATTGTTGCCCCTATGTTCCTAAGTTTCTCCAAAATTGGATGAAACTTGAGGACAAAGGGTGCGGTTTGTATAAGGCTCAGGCTGTAAACAATCGAGTAAAGCGCACCTTGAAATAGAATAGAAAGGTGTTATTTTAGTACTCGAAATTTTCGTGAGAGTTGAAAATTTATTTGTATCTCTAATTATAAAATTTAAAGCTTAAAAAATAGTATAGCTTGAGCATATATTTAAATACTTAAATCTTGAAATTTAACGTTATAGAAAATACATTTTAAGATGTACTATTTTCAAGACTTGAAATCTATTTTTTCATATGTTCATATATCTTGAGATCGAGATGATTGTTTTGAGGATTTTTGTGCATCCAAACAACATCTTCTAGTGAATATTTTAGGTGTACCTTAATTTAATTGTTTAGAGCCACATGTAAACTTTTCCCTTAAATTCGACAATTTTACTAGTGCGGTTTTCCAGTTGTACATCCCAAAATTCAGCTGTGTTTTCATCCAAAGCCTGAAGTTTTAAACCTATACCTCACCTTTCGGCGGACTTGCGAACTTCCTTTAGACCCATTCATGATGCAAGTTGCATCTAAAAACCTATTATTTTTATGGCTCTTAAGCCCCTGCTACTGGGGCATTGATATTGTTCACAAAAACAAAGGGGGTCCAAACAAAGGGACCTTATCATTTTAGTGATCCACTTGCCCTCCAAAGTTTGAAACCTTAGAAAAACTTATGCATGATGATGACGATGATGATGTACTTAAATGATAAGTTTTGGCGTGTTTCGTGGTGTGCTTATTTTAGTCTGCCAGCTTTCCAAGTTACTTGTTGGAGATCGATTTCAAATTTAAAATTGAGAAATAATCCCTATATCCCCTATTTTTATCCAAGGTTGCAAAAGATATCGTCTAACTCCCTGACCACTTTAAACCTATTTTTTAACTTAAATAAATGTGAGAAATACATGTTATTTCTAAACCTAATACTTTATCTATCTTCACTTATATATCCAAAACTTCACTCCCTCTCTTCGTGTGTCTCTCTCACTCTCTCCTCCCATATTTTTCTAAACACCTATCTCTCTCTTCTCTTGGTAACCTCTCACCTCCATAATGTACTCTCTCTCTCTCTCTCTCTCTTTCTCTCTAGAAGTTTGGTTAGAAGGGTTTTAAAAAATGCATGTCTTTTTAGATATGTTTGGCTTAAAAAAACAAGTTTAAATTAGCTTTGGGGTTTAGAAAAATAAAATATAAAATTTTTATGCCTCAAGATATCTTTTAAAACCTTCGGTCTATTATGAAATGAAACTTAAACATAGGGGGTATGGGGATATTTTCTCTTTAAAATTTTACATGTATATCATCTTGACCAACACAATTATGAATTCGGCTTTTTCCATTTCTTTGGGTGTAGCATGGAATTACTAGGCAGAATTTCATGCCTTGGAAGAGGGTGTTGACTTAGTTATTCGGATAGATTGTTTTTCCTTACAAATTGAAAGTGATCCTTCCCTCCTTGTTTAAGTCATATGTGGGTGCTATAAATCTCCAAAGGCACTTCATATTATTGCTTCCAATTGTCAATTCAAACTTACAAATTGTTTATGGTTGATTTGTTACATTTATCGTGAGGCAAATATGGTAGCGGACTCACTTGCTAAAAAAAACCACAACTTTTTCAGATGTCACTATTTGGTGCTTTAGGCTTTCAAACTTTATTTCTCTTCCTTTACTTCATGATATTGCATGATTGTTCTACAGTAGGATTGTAAAATAATGATTTGTAATCTCTTTTTATTTTTATTAATGAAAAGGGATCGTCTACAAAGAGACCATTTATCTTTGTATATGGAAGTCACAATCATTTCCGCTCATTAGATGTCAAATTGGATGGCTTGTGGTGAGTCTGAAAATTTTCTTTTGACACTCTTGAAACCACCCAATTTAAAATTTAAGGGACATGAATGATTGTGACTTCCATATATAAAAGATAAATGATATCTTTGTAGACAATCCCTAATGAAAAATAGGTAGGGGGACTTGTCCCCATTGATTTACCCAATCAAAAAAAAAATGAATGTGAAAAACATTGAATTTTTAACCACAAAAATGGTTTATCTTGTACTCGGGATTGTTCATTTTAATTCTTTAAAAATCATCATATCTATACTAATTTTGGACCCTCCAAATCCGCGGCAGAAATGAACATAGAGTGATTTACGATCCTAAGACTCTTTGAAAACAAGGGCAAACACATGAGTTTCCTTCTAGAAAAATTAAACTGAATTGACGTCTTTTTTGTCAAGGAAAAATTTTATATAGGTTCAAGGCTCTAAACAATCAAATTATAACTGACACAAAAAATTTCACTAAAAGATGTTGTTTTGATGCGCAAACATCCTCAAATTGATCATCTCGACATCAAGATGCATGGACATGGGAAAAAAATCGATTTCAAATTTTAGAAATAGTGCATCTTGTAACGCATTTTTTGACCATCAATTTTCAAGATTTTCAAGTTTTCATAGATCCGTCTGATCTACACTTTTTTTTAAGCTTTAAGTTTTATAATTAAAGATGAAAATATATTTGAAGGCTATCCCAATTATTTCCAGTATTGAAACCATATTTCTCGATACTATTTGAAGGTACGCTTTACTTTGATTGTTTAGAGCCTCGGCTCTACACAAACCACATTAGCGAGGGATTTTGATCACGTGTTCATTGCAATGCGCGTTACAAGATCTTATGCTCTTAAGAAGGCTTTGAATCACGGACGGTCTAGATTCAAACTTCTCTATGATGTTAGAGGGCTATATTGCCCATTTGGTGAGTCTAGGTCAACCGGCCACATGGCCCTTCACGAGAAAGTCATATACAATGTGCATCTCTCATCCTTAGCTGGCGCTGTATACTCTTTCTTTTTTTTTGGTATTCTACAATATATTGGAAAATGGTGGGATAGAGCTGCAGCCCTATTAAAATCAGTAAAGCCTCACCTCATAATTCATCAAAAATTTACAATTCATGGATTGCAAAACCTTTATATTCACCATCTCGGCTTGAACATATTAGTTGTAAAAACAAATTAGGAGTTTAAGCTCTAAAACCGTGTATATTATAATAGATTATCTAGACCGTCCATTTCACTTTAAAATAACTGTTTATAGATCTGTACCATTTTTTAGCGTCAAATTTTATTTCGGTGTTGAAAATTGATTTAGATCCATCATAAAAATTAATGTTGGCAAAAGTGCTTTCCAGATGACGATTTGAGGTAAGGCTTTATTTTGTTTTCATTACAGCCTCGGCCCTCTAGAAACTACTCTACCAAAACTGTATTTTCTATTTTAATTTTTTTAACATAAGGGCTTAACTTTTTCAGGTGCACGGTTAGACCCACTTTTCTTTTATGGACTTTGGAATCTTTTAAATGGAAAAGCTATTTTTATAATATTTGCAAGCCTCTGTTTTTTGGTTTTGTTTTAATGTCTTTCTTTTATGGATGGCGTTTCTACGAGTGTGTTCAATCTGTGGGCACCCAATTAAACTTTTGATACTTAAAATGTGATTTTTTTGAAAAAAGATTCTACATCGTATTAACCTTGTGAGTTTTTTACAACGTCCATCTTAAAGATGGATATTTAATGTTATTATACAGTATACATCATGTACTATATTGTTTGTATGCTAAATGTCTCCATTGTACCTCTTAGTAAAAGATATTGGAAATGCACATTCTGTACTGCAGCAGATAGTGGTAGAGGAAAACTTCATTGTCGACCCAACATCACTAAATCAGCAGGTCAATAATTTTGTAAAGCATCTGAACAATATGCTACATGTATCATGGTATTGTTCTCCATGGTTTGATTTCATTGCTTTATGTATGTCCCTTGCTTGCAAAATCAACTATCCACCACTTATTTAAAGGTTCTACACACCACAAGCATCCATTCTTAACCCCTCTATCAATCAAAGTCCATGGAGCCATTGTTTGTGCGCCCACTACTGTATCTCAAAGGCCTGGCCATGGCCTTCATAGGTTCCATCATCTCTCTCCTCATCTTCTACCACTTATTGACCAGTCCTAATGCCCTAGAAAACAAAGCCCTTGTCTTCCACAGTGCCCTATCCATTGGGTCACACGAGGCCTCTAGTGAACATATAGAAATCCCACCAAGGACCCCTATTGCAAGTGCCCCATCTCTAGGCCCTCACAGGATAGCCCCCACCATACTAAAGCCTAAGGCTGTGCCAGGCGAGCATGCAGAGCGCCAAGGTTCACCCAAGACAACAAGCCAAAGTTCACATAAGGTAGGGACCCCAAGTTCCCCTAGGGTAGGTACCCTTGGTTCACAAGGGGTCCCTAGTAATGAAGGTTCATCAATCATAGAAAAGCAAAGTGCACATAGGGTGAAGACCCTAGGTGAACAAGGGGCCTCCAGTGAAGACACAGGGACCCAAGGCGACTACGGGGCCTCTAGTAAAATATCAGGGACTCTAGGGAGGCTTAGAGGACCCAAAATTGGGGCGCCTGGGTCACACACCGGCTTGAATCCACCCTTCATTTTGGTGTCTGGAGAGCGATCGGGGCCTTGTGAGACTGTAAATGGATCTGTTGTGATGGCCAAATCTTACAAGAACAAGGTGGACTATTGTAATTGGCATGGGTGCACAGTATGGTACACTCTTGAAGTGTGGGAGGAGGGGTACACGGGGACATGGGCTCGATATCCGTTGCTCCTCAGGCTCATGAAGGCGAACCCAAGTGTGGCTTGGTTCATGTGGATGGACTCTGATGCCATATTCACTGACTTTAGCTTTGAGATACCTATACATGCTTATGATTCATGGGGGAAGAAGATGGTGGTGCCTGGCTTTTGGGATAAGGTATGGACTATGGACTATGGAAAAAGGAAAAGTAGAATTCATGGTAATTTGACTTTTTTTTTTTTTTATATAATGAATTTGCTAAAATGAAAAGAATTATCCATAGTTTTTGCCTTCCACTTTTTCCTTGAACCGTATCAACAAAAGGCTAGGCATTTCATTTGCTTTTCTTTCATCTTTTAATTCTGTGAATTGATTTTCATTGCTAATTTTTGCAGTTGATTAATACATTCTAGTTTCTTGTTGTTAGTCTTTCATTTAGATTTAATATCTTTCACATTTTACTTATGGGATTGTATATTATGAGACCATTTACTTTTGATACAAAGAGGTTACAATTACTTACAATCATCTGAAGTAAAATCCGATAGCTTAGGTGTGTCACAAAGTTTGAGATTTTTTTTTTGAAGTTTAAACTGAGTCAATGGAATAAATACAATCATCCAATTTCACATCCAATGGTCAAGATTAACTGTGACCAACTTATATCAAAGTATACTTTTCATTTACTTATTGTTTGTTTTATACACAATTAATACTTTTTTGAGTTCGTTTTGGATTTTATTTATTTATTGATATGTTAAAGTCTTTTCGTTGAGATTTAAAAGTTTCTGCCTCCTTTGAAGAAACTGACTTCTTTCATTGTATTTTTAAGAAAATGAATGCCATAATTGCTATAGCGTGGACCCTTCTGGCAATGCATTGCATGTACCCAAGATTAATGACAATGAACCAGATGTAATGCACATTAAATTCCTAATTCCTATTAATAGGAGGTCTCCATAATAGGAAGATGCCTCTCTCTCTCTCTCTCTCCACAGGTTGTTTCTCTCTGTGTTTTTCCCCTTGTCCATAAGCATCATTCACTCAGTTAATTTATTTGTTCTTATTAATAATTTGTAAGAGATGCCTTATCTGTGGAAAATCCATCGATATAGTGGTAAGGAAAAGACAAAGGCATTCAAGCCAATTAAGAATTAATTTAATAAAAATAGCATAATCTAGAATCATGAAAGATAAGTTAGGGTTCCATTCCTAGGTGACAATCTAGACCTAATAGAATGGTCATTTTTAAGTTGAATTATTGGACTATTGCATAGTAGAATGATGGGATACTTTGGCCCTTTATGAAATTCCATTGTAGAAAGCTGGGGTATATTGGTTTTTTTTAAATATACAGTAGGGATGAGTATTAACGGATTGGGCTGGTTTTCTAATTGATGAGAGGTCTGTTCAAATCAAAATCGTTCCACCATAAAGAATCGGTTGGATGAGATTAAAAAAAAAATTGAAATAATAATTAAAATAATAATCTAAAAATATAAAATATATTAAAAAAAACCCAGTTTGATTTAACCAGTTGAATCAGTTAAAAATAGCCTACCCTATCGATGAGCATTGATCAAACACTAATTTTGATTAATTTTTTACCAAATTTTTACTTTAAACTAGACTGATCAAGTCATTAGTTAGTAGTTCGGAGTGGTTAGTCTGGTGTTGACAACCATGATCGTTCTTGGGTGCTTAATTAGAAAAATGAGAAGTTACCTTGCACTCTTGCATTGAGGGAACAAAAGTCAACGGCATTTTGTTTAAAAATAACTTAAATACTCCTTAAATTTTACAAGGAGACGAGCAATTAATAGTTACCACTTGGCGGTTTGTAATCTCACTCACACCAAAAACCCACTAACACCTTAAAAAAACTTAACTCTTAATCTATTTGAAAATATGGGTTGAGGCCTATCTTCCCCTCTTCTAAATTACCCAAAAATAAATTAAAAAAGGAGAGAGATGGTTGCTTTAGGTGCTTGTTCATGGCTCAGTTAATAGGGGTTCATATTCCCAGGATATAAATTGTTGTCACCCTTCACAATCCCTTTATGCCTGCAACCTAAACATGACCCCTTTTCACAGAGAGAGACAGAGAGTCACAAAAACTTAGCAACTTGAAAACTACTTTTCAAAAACTTATATCTCTAAAATTTGGGGTTTTAGAACTTGTTATCCAGGAGGGGCTTAAAAAATTGGACGAAAGAGGCACATTTAGGTGATGGTTAGAGTGACAGACATAACATAACGTCTAGAGTTCCATTCTCATCGGGGTCTCAAGGTAATATTCAAAATGCCGTCTAGATTTCGATTCTCAAGGTAATATTAGAAAAAAAAGGTTTATCATTTGAGTGACTGCCATACATGGTTCCTAGCCTTAGAAGCAAGGATCAAAGGTCTTTCTTGACTCTCGGGTATCATCTCAACCGTCGAATGGATAGGATTTTATCATCTCAACAGTCGAATGGGTACGGCTTTAACCACGAAACTGGCATCACATTAACTGTGGCTGCAGAATTATCCATGGTGACTAGTATAGATTTCCAAACATCCGTGTAAACATGAAAACCCTTTTCCACTAAAAAACGATAGCAAATAATAGAATACTCGTTTCGTTCAGACCACCAAAACCTGCCAAAATCGGATTGACTAGTGCCCACCTCCAATTTGATGAGGCTCCAAGTTGGACCGGCCGAGTTTCATACCTTAAATGGTTAAAATAGGTTGCACTTCTAAACCCCACGGGAAAATGCAGTTATGTTGTTGGAAACTGTTATAATGATTTGAAAATCTATTTCTACCCTTAATTATACAATTTAATTAAAATATTTGTCATAGTTTTAAATTAACTTTAAAATTCGTTGTAATAAATCTTCCTTTCCGTATGGACAAGGTGAGTTCTTGGCAAGTTAAATGTATACTTGGTCAGGTCCAAATAGATGCTTAAAAAAAATTGTATGAAAAATATAATAAAATTCAAAAAATTAAGAAAAATACTACCATAATGATTATAAATACTTCTTAGAAGATTGTGTTATTGTATCCTTTTAATTTTTTTTTTGAAATATTCAAGGTATAAATCTAATTTTTCAAGAATTCCTCTTTTGTAGCTTTATTCATCTTATTTAAGGCTTCTAATTATTTTATTAATGAAGCTGAACACAAATTCTATAGGACAGTTGTTAGACCAGTTTGTTCTATGGGGCGGATTGTTAGGTCGTAAAAAAATAATATACCTATAGAATGAGTACATTGGAGATGAAGATGTTTTGATGGATAGTGACAAGACAAAAAATGATAGAATTTGAAATAAATACATGCGAAAAAATTTAGGTCTGGCACCAATAGGCAATAAGATAAGAAATAGTAGGGCTGGCCATGTATAGCACACCCAATACAACACCTGTTAAGAAGGTGAAAGTTAGTTCAAGTGGAAGGCTCAAAAATGGAAAAAGGATAGGTTTAAAAGGACATGAATGAAATAAAAAAAAAATATGAGGACTTATGACCTCATTGAAGGTATGACCTTTAATAAAGTAGGATGGTAGACTAAGATTAATGTCTTCAACATCAAAGGTTTTAACGATAGATGATGATTTTCAAAGTTTTTTTGAGTTATTTTTATCCTTTTATAGCTTTTTCTACTTTTTTATAGGGTACCTAACTCGACCAAATAATTTAGCTAGGCCAAGGGAGAGTACCTTAGCCAAGTCGATTTTCTGTGCACTTTGTTTAACTTATTCATACTCAACATTTAAGGAGAGAAAATATTTGGAGAGAGACAGTAGCAGTTAAACAATGAAATCCCTATTTATTGAGTTGGTGCAGGTTTACAGAGATGATCCAGATTGGGTGGGACTAAACGCTGGGGTTTTCCTGATGAAAAATTGCAATTGGTCCCATGAATTCCTCAAGAAATGGATGAAATTTGGGCACCCAAAAAACAAGGCATCCTCAAAGATCTCCATCAACTCCATGGTGAAGTCCAGGCCTCAGGATTGGGACCCAGATGACCAAAGTGCCCTCGTCTTCCTCCTAAATTCTAACCGCACCGACTCGCAGGCGAACGTCTTCTTAGAGGCGAGCTACGATCTCCACGGCTTCTGGGAGCTCGTCATTGATCAATTGGTCGAGGGCAAAAATGGGAATCGAAGGCCACCTTTTGTCACTCATTTTTGCGGGTGCAAATTTTGTGGGGGGAGGGGGAGTGAGGTCCCACTCGTGTGTTTGGATGGGTTCACACGTGCGTTTGGTTTCGCCGATAATCAATTTCTGGCACGTGTGGCACTTAGGCACCCCAATATCACTTCTCCAGACCCTTTGCTGAGCCCTATTTAACTCAATCCATGTGCTATACTTCCCCGAATTTAATTTATTTTTTGATTTTCCACATCATCTTGATGAGCATATTTATATCCATATGTACGTGGACGTGCATATACATGGGTAATTAACGGTTGAGATTGTTGGGTGATGGCATGTGGAGTATCTGGGCCTTTCATTAGCTGGTGGCTCCACAGGTACGTTGAAAATATGCGCATATACTATGCTCCTGGAAGCATATTGTCCATGTACTCCATTGGGCAAAGAGCCCTATTTTGGAAGTATTTTTTTTTTTAATCCAAAATTTTGAGAACTACCTAAGAATCATCATATGATTATTTTCAAAAGATAAATTTTAAATTTAAATATTAAATAATATTTAATTTTAAATATGAAAATCAATTTCATATTAGACCATACTTAAAAATTATATGTTTATCCTATAAAATAGGGCAGTGATTTCATACGATGGTTATACAACAATATAATGTAACAATCTTAAAAAATACTATTAGGATAAAAAAATTTTAACCCAAATTTTAAATATACACTCTTTTTGTTTCAATAAATAATTACAAAAAAAATAAAATTTGAAAATACATCCTAGAAATTTATTTTTTTAGCCCAATTAACATAGGTTATTCATTTTCGTGAGGTGCTTAGATCTAGGCCTTGAAGGATTTTTCCCTTTTCAAAATTTTTAGATGACTTTATTATTTTTATATAACCATTGTTAAAAAGGAAAAAAATGATTTTGAGTTCGTGAAGGCCGAGATATTGAATTCACCAAATGGATGGTCTTAATTATTGTTGGAAAGGAATTCATTTTGACCATATTTAGGTTGCAAATTGAATTTTATTTTTTGAAAGATTGTTTATTGAGAAGAAGAGAGGATCCATGCAATTTTTTGGGTCATACAAATACCATAAACATGATTTTTTAGAAGTTTGGTTCCTTTATATACAATGACCGGTGACATGAAATCATTCCCCTTAAAAATATTATTTATGAGATAAGATTAGAAGAATATATAAATTGTGCAGTTTACTTGAGGCATATCCCCCTTAAAAAAAAAATAAAGTCGCACCTCAAAACCCTTGGAAATGCAGTTTTGGCATTGAAAGCCCCTAATGGCCCTAAAAACTATTCCTCCCCCCTAGAGAGCTCCAAAAGTGGTGTAGATAAGGTGAATTTATTACTTGGAGGGTGTTACAAGGTACATTGCCTATGGGTTTGAAATCCCTTTTCATTTCTCGAAACTACAGCTTTTGATGACTACATGATCAGTCTGAGAATCAAAATTACAGTTCAAGGTGAGATCTGAGAAGTGACTTATTTTTGTAAAGCTTGAACAGTATCAACCTTCTCACAAATTAGGTCATGACAAGCAGTGGAGAGCTATCAGTTCATATCATTTTCAGCAACAAGGATTTCGTGATTCCATAAAATTATGTCCTTGTTTTTCATTGTCAAGATGAAATATATATAAGTATTTCATTTTGAAAACTAGAGGCGTGCTAGACCGTTCTCTTTAAAACTTTAAATAATTCATGGAAAGTGATGGGAATGATCATATTGCGTCATATATTCGCTTTGCGCTGAAGCCACAAGTTTAGGCACTTATCTTCACATCCATCAATATCATCATCACAATATTTTTCCAATTAATTAGGGTTAGCTAAAATGTGACGAAAACTCTTGCCTATTTTTTATTGTAACTAGGTAACACTACAATGTGTCACTTCTGGAGAACTCCATAGCAAGCCCTTGTTCATTTTTCCTTGTACTTGGGTTCTAGAACCGTTCATCGTTTCTGGAGAACACCTTAGCATAAACAAAAATTATATATTTAATAAGTTTTAGCAAAATTTTATGTTAGTTGCTTACCTAACAACACAACCCATTCCCTTTAACATGCACGAGATGGTTAAAGGAAAAATTTAAAGTTATCACTCTTCTTAGACCATCTTGTCGTCACATCCATGACAACCGAAAATGAAATACAGGAGAAATTTGCTGACCCATAAAATACTAGAAAGAAAAGACTAATAGGCAAGTAGACACCAGCTATAAGAAGATCTTTTTTAAAAGAGAAGAGAATAAGAAGCAGTTACTTACTATAGAACATACCACCTAAAACGAATTGAGCCCTAGGGTCAGAGGGTATAGTGATATCAAGAACATGCTCTAGTGCTCATGGAAATTGAAAATGGGCGAGGCGTATTTTAATGTATATGGAAGCTCTAAGAAGCAAGGGATTAATGAAGTAGTATGAGGCGTGAAGAAGAACTATCAAGATCTCTTATCCGTTGAGAAATAGTTTATAAAATCAGTGCGCCCAAGCTTGGCCGAGTCCATTCGCCCAAGTAGAGGCGAGGCCGAGTTTTCTCGAGTTGTGTGTATAACTTGTGGATATTAACAAAAAATTAAAAATTTCCAAAAAAATATGGGATTGATGTATAATTTTTGGTCTTGACAAAGATTGGTATGTGTTTTTTTTTTTACCAAAATCTCCATATATATA